CTTGCTCAATCTTGTGATCCAACCATAGAACTTCAAATTTACTCCACAAAAATCTTTTGTTAAGTAGGGTTAAAGAAGGTGGTGGAGTGGTTTTGGAAGAGGAGGTGCTAAGTTGCTATCTTTCTTGATTTTACAAGGTGAGTTGCTAAGAAATTCTTCATTTGTTCTTGATAATGTTAAATTAGTGGCTTTAGTGGCTAAATATATTGATTTGTGGTAGGTTTTATGGTTGAAAGTGGAGTTTTGATAGATTTTTTGATTTATTGGTGATTTTTCTGATTATTATATGATAATCATTGTTTGGTCATGGATTGATGGCTTGTTATAGGGTAAAATGGAGCTTGTATATGTTGGATATGATTGTTTGTGGAAAATTTCTGGTTTGGTGCGGAAATTTCAGTTTAGGGTTTCTTCTTACCCTGTTCTGCCCGGTTCTGTTCGGCCATGATAGAGGTCGAATCAGCCTTAGGTTAAAACATGAAAGTTGAGGAAATGATGTTTTATAGATGCCTGTAAAATTTCAGCTCAATCTGAGCACTGTAGCATGTGAAAAGATAAAAATACCCCTGACTGCCATAGGTAGAGCTCTGTGGACAGTGTTGACATTTCACCAATCTGACCGCATTTCTTCACCCTGATCTATACTGAATTAGCATTTGGCCAAAACACAGAAGTTGTAGTGCTATGTCTTAGCTTTCCAACGGCCCTGAAAACACCTCAATCGGACTTCGGTAGCCTGAGTTATTGTCGTTTAACCATAGTACGGTTAACTAGCCTGATTGTGGGATTCTGGTTCTGTAATTTGAAATTTTGATCTGGTTACACTACAAACTGGTCTGAGTGGTCAGCATCAAAGTTGTAGCCCTTTATCTTAGTTTCGAAACGGTATAAATTACACACCAATTCGATAAGCGTAGCTTCGGTTGTGTCTGATACGTTAAGCGACGTCAAATCTGTCTTTTGTTTTATGGCTTAAACTTCATTTCCAGACATTTTCCTAGCTTGATTTTGTACTTGTACGACATTGAGCCTATTGAACGGCTATTGAAATGAGATTATTTTGTGTGTGACATTGGGGCTGATTTGAGGAAAAATGAAGCCATGATGGCTGGAAAAGTAAGGAAATTTAGGGGGAAATGCTGTCCAATTTTCTAGGCCGTCTGATTCCTTTAAATTGGAGTTGCATTGTGGTATAAGAAGGGGGTTTGGGGTTGTTTGTAACCCTCGTACCAACTGTTATCCGTTTGCTCAAAAATTGCATTTTTATTCTTTTGTACTCGTATATAACTTGGAGAGGCACCCGACTAGTAATCGAGCCTCACAAGTGCATTCCGTTTACTTGGTTTTGGATCTGGAAACTTCAACTACTTTACCTTTGTTATTCGTAGGGTTTCATGGTGATTAAGGCCACTTTGGGTGAAAATTTTGACGTACCTGTACTTGAACTGGTGAGTGTATCACTCCCCTCATTTGTTGCTTAACTTGGTGTCTGCGCCTGCAATCTGTGATTTGAATGACTGTACTATCTGTTTATTCTGTTTGAGACGAGGGTGTACTTTATCACACTCGTTCTCTTGTCTGTCTGTATGCCTATTTACTGTGTGTAATCTGTTATCTGTATCTGAGTCTGTTCAGACGTCGTTTGGAGGCTGGTATCCAACGACCTTTCTATGACCTCTGAGCTCAATACCTGTGGCTAGTTACTCGAGTCAGGCCAGCAAGGGCCTGGTCAATTAGATAACGAACCACGGTAGTCTGTTTCTGGGAATCTATGGGTATTGAGACTCTTGTTTCCGGTATACTCGAGTATTACCATTTCTGTTTCTGTTGAGCTGTTCGGACCCTGTAAGGGGTATGTTTGGTGGACGGAATTTGGTGTAAAGTGGGGTCTACAGACATGTTGGTTCTATATACGTTGAAAGAGAGTCAACGGGTTTGGATCAAGTTCTGTCATGGAAATCTGGCTCCTGAGAGCCACCTGTATCCTTCCTATTTGAATCATTGTGTCTAATTGCTTTACTGTATATCTGGCATGTATACTTGATTGGTTAAACGTGAAATGCCAAGATTTGACTGCTATTATTTTGGTACCTCATTGAGCGTAAGCTCACCCCCTTCCCGTTATCTTTGTTTTCCTTTCAGGGACAAACTTTGAATCCATGATCTTGGAAGAAAGGGTTGAGCTAGTGTAATTAATATTTTGTTAAGCTCTTTTGCAACCAAAACCCGAATCGTATTTTAAGTGTATGAATACTTTGGCTTGTATTTTAGTTTAGTTAATTTGCCAAAGACTCCAATATAAATATATGTATAAGTGTTTAACCTTGTCTATTAAGTGTATTCAGTTAAGATTATGATTTTATGGTTTGGGAGCATGTTCTTACCTTAGTAGTCTCCGATTGTTCATTTTCTTTGGGTCCTATCGCGCATACTATATTGGGTTTGTGTGATTCGACTCCGTAGTCCTTGCGAGAGCTGGGCAGGCGGTCCGCCGAACCCATTGGTTCGCCTTAGGGTGAGGTGGGGCTGTCACAACCTTCTACGTCCTCAGACGGGTCAGGGGCTTGATGTGACTCTAGGGAATACACCCGAGTCGACACCTTTGGTCCAGTCCCTTCGCCCTTCGACTGGTTAGAGTTGGTCTTGGTTGATTGTCGATTCCCACTCCCTTCTCGAGATATGCCTGGGCAATTAGCGATTTAATGATCTGCACTTCGGCAACGTAGACATTTTCTTCCTTTTTTCCAGCAGACATCCTCCGTGTGATTCGGCTTTCCACAGTACCCGCAGGGACCATGGGACGTAGAGCCCGAGCCTCTCTATGAAGCATCACTTGACATTCTAGGAAATCTTAACCCTCCAGCTCCCTTTCCGAGCTTGGGAGGTGTACTCGTATCCTTTTGTCCCATGCTACTTCCAGGAATAGCTCTTTTCTTCGCCTGAAAGGTTCTAACATGCAACCTCGCGCTTTCAACTCGTTGAGTTTTTTCCACCGCGTCACTGAAGGCAATCAGTTGGGCTACAGCCAGATCCTTCTGAATCTCAACATTTAAGCCCTGGACAAAACGCCTTATCCTCCTTTGCTCAGTCACGATCAGCTCAGGAGCGAATTTCGACAACCTAGTGAACTGGATCTCATATTCGGCGACAGTCTGAGCTCCCTGGCGAAGCCTAATGAACTCATCTTCTTTCTTTTCTTGAATTAGCGGTGGGAAATACTTCACGTTGAACTCTATCATGAAGTTCGCCCACGTTCTCTGTGTTTGTGCTCTTTCCCATTTCAATCTTATTACATCCACCAAGAACGGGCTGCTCCCTCCAGTTGGAAGGAAGAAAGCAAATGTCACTTGTCTTTCCTCCGTATAGTGCAACGCCGCAAAAATATAAATCATCTTCTCTAGCCACCACTCGGCCACATCAGGGTCTGGTCCTTCAAGGAATTTCGGTGGGGAGAACTTCTGAAATCGTTCGAGGGCCCTATCTTCCCCCTCTATATGGTTACTAGGGTTTCCAGGTTGAGGAGTAGGGTTTTGGCCCTGATGCTCAACCACGTGAGCTAAAAGATCAGTCATGCGCTGGATAGCCGCAGCTACCCGGACGTTAGGATCCACTCTAGGTTCAGGGTTGGGTTCAGGCATTGGTTCCCGATTTCCCCCTTCATTCAAGGGTTGCCTACGTCCACGGCCCCGGCCTCGTCCACTACGAGTTCCTTCCATTGGATTAACTAATCTAGGCTCGAGGCGCGAATACAAGTTACAAACTAGCGAGGTCAGTCAGTCAGACATACATATAATACGTATGCATCAATTCAAAAGCAAATATACATATAACACGGCTATATCAAACAAATCACGCAGTAACAGTCAGTCAGATACAAGCAAAGGAAATCCTATGGAAGTAAGGGGGTTATTCAATAGCACATACTACGAACTAGACCAAGAGTACAAAAGCAACTAACGAAAAGCTCATCCCCCTAGGGTTCTATCCGTAATCTACAAGAAATCACAATTTATCTCTTAGGCAGGGTTAATCATCCACACATCACATAAAGTTCCGTAGAATCAGACGTCTAATTCGCCCAAGTCATTTCTAACCTAGGCTTTCATCCCTTTTCGTATTCGGGTACAAGAATCCAAAATAAAATAATTCACCACTCGAGCTGGCCAGCCCCAAGAGTAAATCATCTACATATGTAATTCCTACCTGACATACGTATCTATAGTCTCCAAGTACCAGAATAATGTTTTGAAACCTAGAATACACCGTGATTCATAGCTTATGCTCAAAAGAGTACTTAGTCCCTTATACTCATTCACATGAGCGAGACCACAACACCACTTGCCCCCAAGGTCACTCCGCGCAGAGGCCACGCGAAGCGACTCTGATACCACCTGTGACAGCCCCACTTCACCCTAAGGTGAACCAAAGGGTTCGGCGGACCGCCTGCCCAGCTCTCGCAGGGACTACGGATCGGGAACAAACGTAAACCCTAACAACCGCTTAAAGGAACTTCGAGAAGATAAACATTTAGAACCCAGTTGAGCCGAACTAAGAGATATAATCAATCTTTGGTACAACGATCCCACGTAAAAAAAATCAAAACGAAGTGGAAGTGCCGCCAGGACTACTAGCTAATCACATCCTGAAAAACTTGTTCCGAAAGATAATACAGTGCTCGAGCGCTACAACGACCGATAAAAGAAATGAAACGAGGAACGAAAACAAGCCGCGGATGAACAGTGACTACCACGTCACAATCCGGCCGGAACCCAATCGAATACAGATAACGTTATATAACTCTAGAGAATAAACATTTCCAAACCAAATATAATGCATGAACATGATTAAACAATTTTATATACATACGTTTGTAATTTACAAATCAAAAGGGAAATATTTGGATCAAGGTACATTTAGGGTTTTCCAACTCCCGAGGAGCTATACAAAAGAGTATTTATACTAGCTCATTTCATTCTTCAAAATGATCATTGGTCCAAAAGATGGTTCCATGTAAGTAAAATAAGGATAACTGAACGGGGTGAGCTAGAATCTCAATGAGGAACCAAAAGTATAACCAGTAGAAATCATGAGAAAACATTTTTAAGGCACATATACACATCAAATAAGAGAAATGAATGAACACCACAATTTAAAGGATACAAGTGGCTCTCAGGAGCCAAATCCCCGTTGCAATACTTGATCCAATCTCGTTGACCCTCCGTCAACGTTGAATGAAACACACATATCCGTAGACCCCGCTTATGCCAAAATCCCGATCACCAAACATACCCCTTACCGGGCTCGAACGCCAAACAAGAACAGGAATAGTAATACTCGAGTATACCGGAAATCTAGAGTCTCCAATACCCAAAGATTTCCCAGGAACCGGCACCCATGGATTGTCAAATTTTCTCGACCAAGCCCTTGCTGGCTCGATCCAATTGACTCCCCATAAGGTTGAGCTCAGATTTAATAGGAAGGTCGTTGGATGCACTTCCAAACGACATTATAACAGGCGCAGGTAACAGATTCAAGTATATGCTGGAAACAAGTTACACAGGCCAGAGAACGAGTGCAATAAAGTACACACTCGTCTCGTACCAAATAAAATAGTCTGTAAGGACATTTAAATAGCAATTTACAAGTACAGATAACCAGTTTAGCAATAATTCAGGGGAGTGGTACACTCACCAGTTAAAGCAAGGATACTTCAAAAGTTTCAACCAAAGTAGGGTTCTAATCACCAAGAAACCCTAGAATAATCAAGGTAAACAATTATGGTTCCCACGGCCACAAATCCAGTAAATAAAATGCACAAATGAGGCTCGACTACAAGTCATAGACCCCGCCAAATAATTAGTCATGCATGTGTGCAAAACATGATTTTGGGACGAAAAGGTAACATGAAGACCTAGGGCTCGAACAACCCCAAAAGCCCTTCTTATATATATCCCAAACCAAACCAAAATCGAAGAAATCCAACACTCCCAAAATTTGGACAGAATATCCCTTACATTTCCTTACTTTTCCATCCTACAAGCAACACCAATTCATCTCAAATCAACCAGATACACATCATAGACTATAAAATACACCTTTCGGCTCAATAAGCACAACTGAAGCTACACTTATCGGATTGAAACGAATCTTGTGGCGTTTCGAAGCCAAAACATATACCTACATTTCTTATGAAGACCTCCAAAGCCAAATCATGCATTTTCATGGTCAAAAATGGAAATCCCCACGAAAATAGAAATCTGTCCATGAAACAGGGCTCATGGGCAGTCAAGGGTATTTCGGTCATTTTACAAGATACAGTGCTCGGATCGAGTTGAAATTTTGTAGGCAGCTAGTTAACACCATTTACTACAACTTTCATGTTTTAACCTAAGCCTGATTCGGCCTCTAACATGCACGAATTAAGCCGGTGAGAATAGGGCAGATTGTAACCCTAAAACTGAAATTTCCGTACAAAACTGAAATTTTCCGCAAACAACCACAACTAACATATAAAAGCTTCATTTTACACCATATCAAGCCATCATTCATGGCCAACCAACACTTATCATATAAAATCAGAAAAATCATGAATAAAATCAGAAATTTATCAAACTCCACTAAAAGTCATCAAATCTTCCACAAAATAACATTTTTAGCTACCACAAGTCATTAATAAACCATTATTAGAAACAAACTATGAATTTCTACACAACATACCTTGACACCTCAAGAAAGGTAGTAGCTTAGGTTTCTTTCTTCCAAAACAACTCCACCACCTTCTATAATCCTACCTAGCAAAGGATTTTTATGGAGTGATTTCAAGTTTTGGTGGTTGAATCACAAGATTTGTGCAAGAAATGGATGAAATAACTTAAAGGTTCCTCTCTCTTTTCTCTCTATGAAGTTCGGCCAAGAGGAGAAAGAATGAAGATGATTTTGGGTCAAATTAGATATTTGGTAAAGTTAGGGAATAGTGGTCAAAGTCAAGTTTGAATTAAAAAGTGACACATGGCACCTTGTAGGCTTAAAGTTATCCTTTTGTCTCTCCAAGATTAAGCCATCTAGGTAACCTCTAATTATTTCCTAGCACCGTGTTAAATAATATCTCTTAATACAAAAATTCAATTAATCGCCAAAAATTTTATTGTACTAAGCGCACTAGCGGGTCCCACGCCTCTAATGCACTTCAAATTGAACGTACACTAACTTATATCAGAAAAATGATTTAAAAACTGTACTTACTTATAAAATATATAGAAAATGTAATATTTTAAAGGAAAGTAATAAAAATGTAGGCAAAGAAATAAAATAATGCCCCTAAAATGTGAAAATTTTCATGTTCTCACGCACTTAATATTTGATTTTTTCTTGACTAAAAAGAGTTTTGAAAAGAAAACTAATAGATAATGAACTTATCATTTGCTCAAATTGTTAAAAAGTAACAAAAGAAAATTAATTTGAGAGAACTTTTACAACCCCATGTTTATATGGATAGCAGTTCAACATAAATTGAATTCCAATGGAGAGTATAAAAATTAATTGAAAATTTTATGAAAGAATGACTATTTATACAATTTATATGGATTTGTATGAATAATATGCTAAAATTGTGGAATATAGATTTATTGAAAAATAAAGATTTTTTCTAAAAAAAATTCTAATAGGGGAGGGGAGGAGTTTGAGAAGCAATGAGGGGGAAGATATATTAGAAACTAGGACCGGTAAATTCTAAGGCCTCAACCTTAGTAGGCCTCCTTGGCTATCAAAAAATGAAAATTGTCAAAACATTAGAATAACAAATAAATAATCAAATCAAATAATAGAAATAGAATGAATGTAATTGAGAAATTAAAAAAAAGGTTGTCCAAATAAGGAAGTATAAAATGATAGAAAAAAAATGAAAGTTTGTCCAAATTTTAGTAATGGTAATAAAAGGTCAATCCAATAGTAGAAATAAAGAATGTGATTATACATAATTAAAAAGAAAAGAAAACTAATCACAAAAGAAAAAGTAAGGCATAACATAGATTGTTAGAAGTTTACGATAAATGAGGAAGTAAAAAAGGGCTATAATTTATTGTTACCAAAAACAAAAAGAATAAAATCCACTAAGAAACATAAGCAAACACAACTTCCACTTAACTCAGTCATTTTTGAAAAAAAAAAAAAACAACTTCTACTTTGCAAAATATGAAGATAGCCAATTTAGTAACCTACCAAAACAAATAGTGAATAGCGAATTAATATATATGTACATGAATCTTCTGAAGTTGAAGGACAAAACTATTTATGTGAGCATTAACGTAGTGTATTTTGTCCAAATATTAGTAATAAGAATAAATAATTGAGCCAATAATAGGAATAGAGAGTGTAATTAAAGAGGATTAAAATAGAAAGATATGAGTTGATTGATAAAAAAAAAAGAAGGTACAGCTTATACAAACTTACATAAGATAGGTCATTAATAGATTGCTCGAAATTGACTATCAATTATTACCAAAAAAAGACAGAATAAAATTCACAAAGAAACATAAACAAACACAATTTTCCTTACAATTTAATTTGTCATATGGGAAAAAGATAGATTGCCCACTTAGCGGAATATATGAATAGCCAACTAAGCAACCTATCAAAACTGAAATTGAACATCATTTTATTAAATATACTAGTTATTTACCATGCATTCGTATGGACACTTTTTATCTTCTAAAATTTTTCTTTCTCTTTTTTTAATGAATATTGATATCAAAGAACTAAAATACTGAGTAAAACAATTGAAGTTAAATACAATAAAAAATAGTTAGTTCATGAACAGGGCAATGAATTTTGCTTACTCCAATTACTGGTGCAAAACATAGTAATTGTGGAAATTAAGGAAATAGGATTGATTCTTGTTACATAATATAAAAACTAAAAACTAAGGAAATAAATTGTGAAATATTATACATGTGGCAAAAAGATAGGGCTTTTATTTGTTATAGCATGAAAGTAGCTAAGTTAGCAACTTATCATATGGAGAAATGAACAGCGAATTAGTATATGATGTATGATATTATATGATAGATTCTATGAAATTTATAATAAATGTATTGAATTTTAGAAAGATTAAAAGGTATTCAAGGTTTAATAATAGAAATATATAAGCAAACCAAATAATAAGGATAGAAAACATGATTGAAATTAAAAAATAAGAAAACTATGAGGTGACTAACAAAAAGGCTAATAAAGGCATAATTAATACAAATTTATATAAAGTAAGAAATTAAAAGATTGAATTGAAAGTTGCTATATTTAAGGGAGCTAAAAAAAGGAAAAAGGAATAAGTGGCTGAAAAATTAAAGATAGAATTAAGTTATTAAAAAAATACTTAAAAGTTTTAAAAGTTGCTATAGTTATGGAAGTGAAAAAGGAAAAGAGCATAAGCAAGTGAATAAATAAAGAAAGAAAAATTGTTACTAAAAATAAAATACGAAAAATCTACTCGAATAAAAAATTAAACTTGGTTGCATGGCGAAAAGTTAGAGCATCCAATTGGTAGAAAAGTTGGAGTAATCAACTCAGCAACCTATGCTTTGATTATGTCCTAAAATAGTCAAAATAGGAACTAATATAGAATTTTAGAAAGAGAGAAAATTATTCAAATTTTAGTAATAGTAATACTTAATAGAACCAAATAATATGGATAGAAAATGTGATCGACAAAAGAATTAAAAACTAAAAAAATTATGAGGTGATTGACAAAAATGTTTCATTACCTTCACAATAGTAACTTTCAATCAATCATTTAATTTCTCACTTGATATATTAAGTGGGTAAAAAAATAATGATAAAATTGATTGTTACCCAAAATAAAATACTTGAAAGCTATTTGAATAAAAAATTAAATTTGGCCACTGACAAAAAGATGGAGCGTTCACTTGCAAAAGATTAGAGTAACCCGCTTAGCAACCTACCAAACAGTAACTAAATAGCATTTTATTATATACATGATAGAATAAGTGTGGCTGTGC